TATATATATATATATATATATATATATATATATATATACATTCACTTTTATATCATTGATTTTCTAGGACTCATCGGAACTACGTGTCGTTTTTGTATCACTGTCCTCTGTACGATTCATCGCGCACCCGTGTTGTGTAATAATCGGGCGCCGTGCGTCACGTTTACTCCGGCGACAACGACACAACGACGGCGACGACGACGACGACGACGATGACGTTGACACGACGAAGACGACGGGGATGGATGTGTACCGCTGTTGTGCGCGACTGCCAATTACCGCGACCGCGACAAAAATTCCAAAAAAAGATCTACGAGCTGCCCTCGAGACACTGTGATATATCTTTTCTTTTCGTCATTCCCGCCGTGCGGAGCCAGGAATCGCGAGGTCGGGAGCGAGTTTACGTCGGCCATTCTCGCGACTCTCGCTGGAACGGATGCGCCGGATTCGTTCGTCTCGCGGCCGAGAGTAGTCTCGCTTCCGAAGGAACGGGGATATCCGTTTGTTGAGAGCGAGCAGGTGAAAAACGAGACAGGGACAACTAGTCGCTCAAGGTTGTCCGGCTGGCCTGGGGAGGCTTGGCGGATTAGGGGCAGTCGATGGAAATCTGAAATTGGAATACGTGATTGATGATCATGAACATATCGAAGTACTTTCTTTCGGTTGCATCTTCGTTGCAATCATGTTTCTTTTCTATTGCGCATCCCACAGAAGAAACTAAAAGAAAGATACGCCATTTGATTCTGGTATGTCAAGAATTTGTGCACGAAGAAGCGTAAAATCCGCAAAAGGAATGACGATATTTTCAGTTTGATTTCTGATCTCTGATCTTGGAAAGTCAGGGGTGTTTTAGTGAATGACGACGCCTCTCAGTCGGTCCACCTTCCCAGGCTCACTGTGCGGGCAGGCTGGAGCAATCTTTCGTTGAAATCTTAGGGAATCGGGAAACGTGCGGAAAGGAATATCTGCCTTTATACAAGTCGCGGTGCGTAACACACAGTGCGTTCATAATAAACACATCGGCATCGCGACTCGAGATCGTCGCGACTCTCGCATCGAGGATCTCTAGATTGGGCATCGACCAACTGCGTTAAATTAACGACGATTAACAAAAAAAAAAAAAGGGAGGAAAGAAGAAACGAAAGACGAAAAATCACGGTATTAGCTTATCTTTCAATTAGCCGCGACTTCTGCGACGGTTCGATCGCGTCGAACTCATATACGGTGCCTACCGCATTATATTCTCACGAACCAAAAAGGATCAACTATATTTTATCTTACAAAACGCAGAGTACACTACGGTAGACTTTGCGTTTCGGCCGAGTGGATGCGTCGATTCCTTGATTATTCATGCCTCGGATATTCTTACGATATATTTTAGAATTCATTCTTCTAGAGGAACCGAAAAAGAAACAGACATAGAGATAGAGAGAAAGAGGTAGGGAGGAGAGAGAGAGAGAGAGAGAGAGAGAGAGAGAGAGAGAGAGGAAAAAAGGAGCGACGTGAGGGAGAGAGAGAAAGAGAGAGAGAGAGAGAGGATCATTGCAAAACGTATAAATAAAAATATCTAAACTCAAAAATATATAATTCTTCACGGAGAAAGAATTCTTCTTCTTCGTCCTCGTGAATCTCGGAGTGATCGACGAGGTCGCAAATCTCCGATGTTCATGAAGAAGGCTCCCGATTTTCCCATTCAGCTCGCGGCCCGAGTCGACCAGGTGTGTACCGTCGATTGGCGATGATCAGAACAGCACGATCGAGGAAAGTAGCGTTCGCTCGTTGCGAATCGCGAGATCGACAGCCACCCGGTCGTACACGCAGAGGCATGCCTTTTCTTACTCCGTCATTGATCTTTCTTCCTCCCGCAATCGATCCTCTCAAACTCGGCGACTCGGCACGCTTCGGGGCTCCGAGGGGGACGACCCCGCGTGCTCTCTTTTCTCTGTACATACGTGTGTATATACTTGTATACTTCTATCGCGAGATGTGATCGAGATGATCCCGTTGATCATCAGAGATGGTATAATAATCCCCTATACAAGTAGCAATAGCGTACTCCGTTCCCCGCTGAAGAGTAGCGTAATCGACGGACGGGGGGGTGAAACCGGAGGAACAAGGGGGTACCGTACCCTCCGAACTCGACTCGAAGAAGCGTTTCACAGATCGGAAAATTCTTCAACCCTTCCTCGGTCGGGAGATTCGCGTCGATCGAGAGAGAGAGCGGCTCCTTCAAGGGGCGCTCCGTCACTTCCTCCCCAGCAAAAACGACGACGTATTGATGATGATGACAAATGACGCTTTAATTTCGGTGTTAATGGCGCCAACGACGTCGTTAATGCATCATCGTGTTTGCTGGGTCATTCGCGACAACGACCGAATACGAGCCTGGAAATTTGCCACTTCTCTACCGTTTTACGTCGTTTTATGTTGCATTCGCGCCTGCCATTACCGGTTAAGCTTCCACCAATTCAAACTTCCGCGCGAATTCGGCCGGCCCGGCAGGCGGATCGCGCGAAAATGAATGCGAATCTCACCTTCCGTCAATCTTCCGAACTTGCGACGAGGTAAGCACGAGCACAACGCGACATGTAATAGCAAGGACTCTTCGTGTGGGTCCGTGGATCGCGATTAGACCGGCTGGTGTAGAGCACTCGGTGAATCGAAAGGAGCCGACCGAAGAATTCGCGAAACTTAGGATCGCGAATATATATCGGCTCAAAGATTTCACAATCGATAATTTTCTTGATAATGAATAATTAATAATTTTCTATTAAATTCTCCCGATGAGGTGTTGCATAATTTCATCCTTTAATCGTGTTAAACGTGTATATTGAGACTCCCTTTTACAAATAAATTATCTTGGGAATCTCATTATTTTTATTTCACGTTGAACACTTTGTTGCTTTTTTTATTTTAAGTTGTTTACGTTAGATCGTCTGTAAAGAGATTCGGCGACGATGCGCATCGAGAACGAGAAGTAACAGAGAGTATGTCGAAGACGCTCTCGCTGATCCCCGGCCTCGAGGATCGGAGTCTCGATGAATTCCGACTCCTCTTTCGTGGCCGGCTTTACTTCGCGAGTAATTGAAACGCTCGATTCACGGACGACGAACGGCTCTGGTAGGATTTCGAGCTGCGTCGCGCGACGTAAACGCAATATAAAATTTAGGATAGAGGAGAGACGACCGGGAACACGCGAGAAAGGAGCCAGGACTAATTAATTAAGCGGGGTAATCGCGCGCGGAACATCGTACGATATCATTCGAGTGAGCGACTGATGAGGAAGTTCTTAATTATAAGTTGTCCAAAACATACAGATTCAGTGAGAAAGGCAATAAAGCTAATTGAGAACTGAAGATATGCTAAAGTAGATCTCCTTGCATTACGGATATTATCAGAAGAAATCCAGAATACTGCTAATTATCGATAAAAAGGAACTAGGCTAGGCGTATATACATATAGAATTATATATACAGGCTGTCCGTGGGACACCCTGTATAGCTGTAGCTGAGAGAGTGAAACAGTATATATATATATATATATATATATATATATATATATATATATGTATATTAATTAGCTTATATATTACGCGCGCGGCGTAAGCGAGCTAATTAATATAATTAGAGAGACTTCTTACCGCGCGGGACGGGCGAATAAACTATCTCTCTCTTTCTTCCTTTCTGTCTGTCAGTCTCTCTCTCTCTCTCTNCCTCCCTCTCTTCCTCCCTCCTTCCCTCCCTCAGTCACATATATAAACAAACAAACAAACAAACACATTCACACATACATACGTACACCCTTCGGTGCAACGGCTGTATAATAATTGCGGACCGTACGATTGCCGTTATATCTGAATTTGAGGGACCGCGAGGAGCCGCGTATATATACATATGTACGATTAATACATATTATATTTTCACTCAAACTAAGTGCGCAGAATACTGTAACGAGTCCGGGGTTTCTCCCGAAAAATCCTCGAACCCGATGCGAAACGTCGCACTGTCTCTCTCTCTCTCTCTTTCTCTTTCTCACTCCCTGTCTCTTCCACCACTCTATTTTCGCCCCCTCCTCTCTTTCTCTCTCTTTTCTCTCTTCTCTCTCTCTCTCTCTCTTTATCTCTCCCGATCGGTTGGGTGTATCGAATTATTAAGCAAAGACGCGCGGTATCGAGAGCTAATAGTCTGTAAAACTGTTCGACTCATCGTGCTGTGAAAGCCTCTTTCGACCTTCATCCACCAACCCCTCACCAACCGAGAAAAGGCATGCTACGATATGTGTTCACAAAAAAAAAACGAAGAAAAAGATAGATCATCATTGGCGCGCGCGCGAAACGGTATCTATCTATTATCATCACGCCGCACTATCTCGCGGCGATATCTACCCTCGTGCGGTATGCCGTGTGATCGATCAATTCTTACCGCAATCTCTTTCTCTCTCTCTCTCTCTCTCTCTCCCTCTCTCTTTACGTGTGAGCGAGGGAACGAGAGGTCTTTCCGTGTCTCTGCGACTCTCCCGCCTTCCTTTCAAGTCTTCGAGAACGAGGAGCGTCTCCGAGCGCGAAAGGCCTTTCCCCTGATCCTCGCGCGCGAAAAGGATTCACTTATCTGTAATCGAGACACGCATACACACACTCACGTTATATACACACGCATACATCCACATCTACACACACAACAGACATACACGAATGCGCGTGTGCGCGTATATGATACTATAACGAATAATTCGTTTCTAAAATTGTAATAACGTATATACATATACATATTTACATATAATATGTGAAATGGCTACCCTTTAAAAGAAAAAAAAAAAAGAAACGCGGAGGACCTAATGTGTTCCGCGCTCCACCACACTTTGATAAGAGGATAAGCAATGAATCTCATCAATCAATGGTTTCTTGAGTCAATGATACAATATTTAAAGGGATGAAAAGAAAAGAAAAAAAAAGGAACTCATCGATTTTAATTACGAAGTTCATAGAGCCTTACGGACGGAAAGGAGAATGGAGAAGGGGAGGAAAAAGAAAAAAACGGAGGGGAGAGAAAAAGGTAAACAAAAGAAAAAGAAAGAAGGAAATCCATGCGAAATTTCGAGCAGTCCAACAAAGTTAAGTGATCTAACAATAACGATATGTAAAATAAGTTCACTGCCACTCAAACGACTTGCGCCCCTTAGGTGAGCGCCAATATTCCAAGATGTGAATGTGTACAGCTATGTGAAAAGTAATTAATAACGTAATTATATTTACATATGATACTATAATTAGCATTATGTAAAACTAAATAGCATGTAAACGACACACACACACTTAAGAGTGGTATACATACGTAGGGTATAGGTGACAACCAAAAGAAAAAAAAAAAAAACATATAAAATGAGAACACGTCATTGATCGCAGAGCTAATTCCAGAGGAGAAAGGAAGAAAAAAAAAACACGTTTACGCGCCCGCTCATTTGTATATTACGATATTAAGGGGAAAGAAAACGTAAAAAAACGTGGAAGAGAAATACAAAACCGAGGAAAATTAGCGCTAATATCATATATAAGTTCTTTCTCTCTCTCCGCTAAACTAATATAATCAAGTTCGATTCTCCGGATACTTTCCTTTCGCCGCCACCGCTTCTACCGCAGCGTGAGAAAGGGGGGTGTGTGTGTTTACTTTTTTAGCCGTGACTGTTTTCATTGCGATCTCTCCCCGAAACGAGTGTCACTGTCCGTCCGTCCGTCGGACCCGGTGGGATTCGGTCGTAAAGGTTTCAAGAAATCCGGCTTTCCATTGTTAAGCGCGATCGGCAGCGACCTCGGCGTTCTTTCGGATCGATGTGTTGTCTGTACTTTCGCGATTTTCGTCTCCATAGAACGTAATGTTCTGCGTTGCATTTGTTAAGTGTTATTGTAATCGAGTTCTTTTTATAAAAGCCCTTACATTCTCTGTGAAAATGTTTTACTTCACCTTCTCGCCATCCCCGAAGCGACGAGAGGCCGTGGAAACAGCGACGGGAAGTTGTTCGGAGATGATCACGCCACGTGATATGAATGAAATATATACTTTATTAATGACCTCTTATCGTTTCCTGATATATACAATGATGAATGTCGGACGAATGATCGCTGGAATGGAAGTCTAGTCGATTAAAACGCAAGAGACGCTGTGCGTCTTACGGCTTGCACTCCTGGTGATAAGGCTCCAGGGTTCGGAAGTCTCTCCAGGTCGGTGGCAGTGCGCTGTGCAAGTGCAGGCCGCAGCGTTTGCAAGGCTCGCTGAACAAATTGTTCAGACTGTGAAACCACGTCTGGAAGTAAAACGGAGATGTGACGACATGGGATAAACATAACGATCGCATACGATCGCGTATGTCGAATCTTTATATAACGGGTGGCTTAAATCGACCGGTTAACGAATCATTGGTTACCATGAACGACCGCACCGCCAGCTCGGGCAACGTGGGTGAGTAAAAGTGCAGCATTGCGGCGTTCGCGTTCTCAGTTACTTTGCGGAAAACCTTGTATCTGGACTCCGTCCACAGATCCATCGTCTCGCCATAACCCTTGACTACGACCCACTCTATCATCAGACCCTTGAACGCAATCACCGCCTGGAGAACGTGCCCCAGAGTGACGTGCAATACCGCGTTCGACGCGAACGGACGCGACACAGACACCGTCATGTCGCTGAACAGCCGGTCGAACGTTGATATCATGTTATCGACTTGCCTGTGTACAAGAATTTACGTTAACATCCATTCGAGGCAAGAGAACGCTTCACAGCGAGTCTAAGGTAGCTTACTGCTGAGGTACATTGTGATTGCTGGTTGGAATTCTTCCCCTCTTAGCTCTGCTCGACGTTGTGTAAGATCTCTTCAGGGAATTTTGACTGAGTAACGCCTGCGCGATATTGCTGTACTCGTGGATCTTGTCCGTCCACTTGTAGCTGTTAACAAGCGTGCTATAAAGCGCCTGTCTCTCTTGCGTGGTCTCTTGGCTAAGGTAAGTCGTGCTGGCTAAATTAAATGGACCTGGTGGTGGGTTTAAACTGCTCACTGCTTGTTCTACATCCCTGCGAAGCACTCAGGTACTAATTGGTTCCGCAGAGAGATCAGTATGTCACATAACAATAAATCTCGTCTCTCATTAAGATTAAATATTTCAACTGTAACCATTGCCAAATTACCTGAGATTAAGATTTACCGTGGTCAACAATTCCTGCAACTCAAGCAGATACTTGGATTCTTTGTTGTCCTCCCCATGTTCTGCGCGTAGGCCATTTCCAAGGGACTCAAACACTTGCCCGACACTAGAACGAAGGACTTTGATAGCTGTCAATGCAGTCTGCAGTTGTTCCATTGTTATACCTGGTGTAAAATTGTAATACTGTTACAATATATAATACAGATCTCAAAATACATGATAAATTTACACAATGCAACATTTTATAATGGCATCTCTGATTGAGTAATTAAAGTTTGGGGAATAATAACAGAAGTTTATTGTCAGAAAACACTTTAAATATCTTACTTACTATTTTCATAGACAACAGTTTTCAACTTTTGATTTTTACGTCCTTTAGTACATTATTTGGATATTAATGCAGGTTAAGGCTCCACAGGAATCACTCGTTTACTCAAGAATAATTTACAGGTTGCCCAAAGGCATTCAATATCACTTACTAGGTCCACAGAGATCAAGAATAAATTCAGATTTTATCTTGGAGATCTCAGGTCGGTTCTTTTTCCCTGAACTAGCTGCATTAACTTGCGCTAGTTCTCTCTCCCTCTTTCTTCCACCGAGTTTTAACTAGAAGTGGGCCAAATCATCGATGTTTGAAACATCTGGTCTGTTCTATATAGTTGCAAAATATACTTGCTTCACTCTAACTTAAAGCATTAGTTCAACAGAGCAGCTATAAAGAACAGACCAATCGATGTTTACTCATTGAGGATGCATCCTACGATAAGTTTGCCGGACGTGCCGATTGGCTGTTGAATAGGGAATTTCTAGAATTCTCCCTAACAATTTTCTAACAAGTTAGCAGAAAGAACATACTAGACGTCAAGTCGTGTCCGTGCATCATGTTTTGCTCTTCATCTAACATAAGACCCGCGTTCCGTGAGGGAAATTCAAAACAAAGTATCAATGAATAAAATCGTGACTTTCAAGTGGACGACGTGCGAATCGCGCTTATCGCACGGTAAAAGTACGCGTGAACCGACGTACGTGAATTTAAGATATTTAGGTTCGGTCCAAACCTATATTAAGCATAGATTCGACGAAATTCCTTTCGTCGTAGCTTTTACTTTTGAAGTGATATCGTCGGTGGTGCTGAGAATTGCGACTTCGTGTGACAAGAAGGTAACTTAGGTTACAAATGTCAAATCGAGGTGAATTGACGAACGAAGCGCAAGTATGAGTAATACAGAGAAATCTGGAAGATCCGATGGCACGGTCACGGATTCATTTATGACAAACGAGGACGAGTCCGATGAATTGTTCTCAGGTAATAATTATACTCGATCTGTTTACGCGTGGTAACGGTGCCATTTCTCTCATACGCCTGAATTTCCAGATGATGAACAGGGCGAAGAGATCAATTATAAATCTGATGTCTCTTTGGATGTCTCGATTTTACGATCTAAAACACCCTTATTATTGACTGACAATTCAAACTCAGTGTAAGACACGACTTTATCTCCTTAAACTCTGTCAATTTTGTTAATTCTGTTATGCACATTCATGACATATGTAGAAACAGATAAATTTGTTATAAATAAAATATAATTAAATTATAGTGTGCTCATCAATATCTATTGTATGTATTAAACAAAGAATTTATTTTGACTTCTCTGAATCGCTGATTCTTTCTATATTGTTAATAATAGGACACCAAGTGAGGCAGTAATTCCATCTACACCATTGAGTCTAGTGCCTTTCCTTAATAAAATAAATGAACAATGGACTAGCGATTTGGAAACACCACAAGCTGACAAGACAGCTCAGTTACATACAAAACCATCAACAAGTGTACCCAAAAATGTAATGCAACCTTTTACAAATGTGTTGTATTCCCATTTATAGTATATGTACTCCATTGTCACATCATAACATTGAGTTATTAATATTTCAGACAGGGGAAACATCTAAGCTTGAGCCACACACACCTGATACCTCGTCTGCTATAAGTATAGATAATAAAATTACTTCAGATTCTCCTGTTATAGTCCCTAGAGTGGTAAGAAAGCGTCTCAAGCGACGCTGTATATTTCAGTCTTCCATATCTACAGACATGTTAGCTGAGACCAGTAATGAATATACTACTGTAAGTAAGCAAGAAGCAGCATCAATTGCTGAGAGCGATACTATTCTTGTAGTACAAGGTAATGCTACAAATGTTCCTACATCTATTCCTCATAACGAAAGTGCTCATGAAGATAATAAGTCTCAGAGTCTTGATAGAGTACAAGAAATGTGTGATAACAAGAATATCAGCCAGTTGAGAGATTCTGTGCCTGATGTTTTAGATTTGGATAAAGAGTTTTTTAACGATACCTGTTTTAGTATTGTAGACAAATTAGTCTCTAGCAATCTCGATGAACAAACAACAGTCGATACTACCATACAAGGTAACGACAAACAAGGCATTGCGAATATTCATAGAAAAGGCTCGCAAACCTTGAATTTAAATTCAAACAGGGTTGAGGAGAATGACAGTGTAGGTTTTGTTACTGCACGTGGCACTGCCATTAATGTTTCAAAGGAAGCATTGCTTAAAGCGAAGACACTATTAGCAGATGAAATGCGACTAGAGAATCATGAGTTACCCGGCAAGAAAAGCTCCACAGAACGGAACAGCAAGCATCTATCACTCTTCTCAGGAATATCACCAGAGCTACAAGCTGCTCGAAAGCATTCGAAAAATTATGACGAAGTGCACGTTCAAGATTATAAACGGTTACTTGTAAACGAAGGTTCTGTCAGAAAAGACCACATGCTTCCCTTTTCATCTTCAACTGCTAGTGGTCACCGTAGCAATGTCTCCGGACGAGCATTACCCAGAGTGAAATTATCGTTCATGAAAGAATTAGATGAACCCTTAGAATCTAAAGTTGCGGGGGAAACCGTTCATGACAAAGAAAATAAACTGCAAGAAATAAATAATCCAAACGTTGGATTCCAAACCGCTCGCGGTGCACCTATCAATATTTCAAAACAGGCGTTATCCAGAGCAAAATCATTGTTCGCGAAAGAATTAGACGAACCGTTAGAAATTAACATCACTGAGGAAGTTGAAGCGGTCACAGAACAAAAAGCGAAAGAATTAGATGAACCATTAGAACTCAACGTTGCGGAGGAAGCTAATGTTCCCAATAGAGAAATCCAAGTTCAAGAAGCAACCTCGAACTTTGGATTCCAAACTGCTCGTGGCGCGCCCGTCAATATTTCAAAGCAGGCATTATCTAAAGCAAAACTGCGGTTTGCGAAAGAATTAGACGTACCATTAGAGCTTAACGACATGGAAGAAGCTAATGTTCATAACAGAGAAATCAAAGTTCAAGAAGCGGCAACTTCGAACATTGGATTCCAAACTGCTCGTGGCGCACCTATCAATATTTCAGAGCAAGCATTATCTAAGGCGAAACTATTGTTTGCGAAGGAATTCGAACCCAACGTTGCAGAGGAAGTTAATACTCGCGACAAAGAAGTCCGAGTGCAAGAAGCAACAACTTCGAAGGTCGGATTCCAAACTGCTCGTGGTACACCTGTCAATGTCTCAAAGCAGGCGTTGTCCGGAGCAAAATTGCTGTTCGCGAAAGAATTAGACGGGCCATTAGGATCCAACGTCGCGGAGAGAGCTAGTATTAATAACGAAGCGGTCAAAGGACAAGGCGTGATCGTTCCGGACGTTGGATTTCGAACCGCTCGTGGTGCGGCCATCGGCATCTCAGAGCAGGCGTTCTCCAAGGCGCAGGCATTGTTCGCGGACCAATTGGACTCTCCCGTGGAATCGAATCTCCCCGAGAAACGCAAGTTGAGCTCGGACGACAGCACACCTCTCGGCAGGGGCTTCGCGTCCGGCTGGAAGAAGATGCGTCTCAACAACGAATTCGAAGGCAGGAAATTATTCGCCGACACGGCCGACCAGACGGAGACCCCGTCGAAAGACCTCCGCGTCGCGTGCGGAATGTCGGCGGACGACGATCCGGAGGATGGAAGAACCGAGGCGTCGCGCGTCGCGGAATTTCCAAACGAGATCGTTGAAGCGAACCACGCGGCACGCCCGGATGAGAGAAGCCAGATTCCGGAGGTTTCCACCGCGGACTTCTCTCTGCGCTCGCCGCAGCGGAACACCTCGGAGTTACCCGAGTCGGACGCGATGTGCAGCCCCGTGATAGGGAGACAGCCTGTCTCGAGGAAGCGCTGGAGTCTGGAGCGTCACAGAAGGAAGCACGGCACGAGCCAAACCGCTCCGGGTAACGCGGCACCTCGTCGTGAGAAGACCGACGAGGAGGAGTCGTCGCTCGCGGAGTCGCAGAGGGTGACGGAACGGCAGAAGACGGAGAGCGAGTCTACGGAGTACGGCGACACGCAGATGATGATGGACTTCATCGACGAATCGGCGCAGATCCTGCAGGATCGTCTGGCGGCCGCGTTGGAGCAGGAGGAGACCATCACCGGGAAGAGGCGGCGCAAGTCGAAGCAGTCGACGGGGTACCTCTACCGCCACAAGCAGGCCAACTCCGGGGCTCGAGTGTCGCTGAGAGATCTCGGCGCGCCGCCTTCGCCGCGCAGCTACCAGGAACTCATCGACCAGCGGATACCGCCGAACATCTTGCCGATCACCGCCTCTACCGCCGCGTCCTACAAGTTCCGCTGCTCGGACTTCTACGGCAACGACGTGGCGCGCAGTAACGTCCGCGGGATCGAGCTGGAGGACGGCGCGCGCCTCGTCATGGACGAGAACGGCTACGTGGGAGTCTGGGAGTTCCTGCGTGCCTTCCTCGCGAGCCCGGGCGTCGAGCCGAACCTTGTCCCCGCGCGGTGGATCGAGAATCATTACCGGTGGATCGTGTGGAAACTGGCGTCGATGGATAGAATGAAGTTCGGCTCGGCCGAGTTACCCAGGTGCGCGGGTCTACTTCTTTTCTCTTCGCCCGCTCGACCTGTTCGAGATACCGATCTCGATCTGGTTGATCGCTGGGACCCGGCTGGTTATTCGATCTTACGTGGAATCAAATTAATATTAACTCAAGACCCATATTCTTGTACATAGGATATCCGAGATCAACATGGACAAATTTAGCGAGGGCTAAGGATGGATTGAGGTGAACAAAAAAGTCCCCCATTTGTCCATGTTGATCTGAGACACCCTGTATAAGCGGGAGTAATCTTATATGAAGAAAAATTTCTGTTAGATCAATTTTCCTCACGATCTCGTATTCTGAAGGTATTCAAGGGGATAATGGTTATTGCTTTACCCTGTGTATTAATAATAGTAATGACTACGATTGATAATTCGAGGATAATTATTATTCAGTGCATCTCGTTCTCGGGTTTTCAGAGCGTTAACACCCTCGCACGTGATGGCGCAATTGAAGTATCGTTACGACCGAGAAATAGATCGATCCCAGCGACCGGCCATACGACGTATCCTGGAGAAGGATGACGTCGCGTCCAAGAGGATGATTCTATGCGTGTCGTCGATCGTGGAGGTAATGCACGATTTGAGATTGAGTGTCGGAAGTCCCGGCAATAAAATATCGAAGGTTAATTTCAGGTTTCGCGAGAAAAATCAAGTTTATTCGCGCGTCAGACGGATATTAGATCCAGCAATTCCCAGGTAGTCGCGCGATTGACTATTTAACACGTTGACTGCCACGGAACTTTTCACGATTCTGGTCTAAGAAGCCAATTTGATTTAATCAAGTAATGAAACGACGAGATAACTCGTAGTTGACGTCCTGGGCGAGTAAAGAACCTACGAGATGTCTCGTATTTGGCAGTAAACGTGTTAAATTATCCACCATACCGAAGGATTAAATAACTCGCGTGTAAAGATAAAAAATCACCGAGGGAGATCAGCTGGCCGTCGAGATGGCGATCGTCGAGAGAGATCAGCTGATCGTCAAGATGGCGATCGTCGGGAGCGATCAGCTGATTGTAAAAGTCAGCTGATCATCAAGATCAGCTGACCCTCACACGCGAGAATTTCAAAAAGCTCGTTTTTTTCACCGCACCGATGCTGCACTGAAGCTTTGTTCCTTTTTCTTTCAATACTCAGTTACGTACTTGCTTCACTTTGAAGGTAAAAAGTGCAATCTAGTTCAGCCCAGATAAGTAGACTTAAAGAGCGAAGCCAGCCGGGCTGTAAAAATCAATATCAGCCGAGTCGCGAGAGAGTTCGCTGAACTAGTGATGGACAAATCGCGCGTTCAAAACGTTCCGATTTGCAGAATAACACCGTAGCTACTCCCGCTATGGAGATGGGCAAGAGTCCGCGCATAGGGGTGCCCAAGTGGAGAATCGAGTTGACCGATGGCTGGTACAGTATACCCGCCTGCATCGACATCGGCATGGCGAAGAACGTGTCGACCGGCAAGATGCGAGAGGGCACGAAGTTGCTGGTGTGCGGCGCGGAATTGCTCAACTGCAACGTGGCTTGTTACCCGTTGGAGGTAAGAGATCCCGACCTACGTCCGGATCGACGCGCGACCGGCTCTCAACACTAGAGCCAAGATACTCGAAATGACTAGTTTGTAGTCTCTTTAAAAAAAAAAATTACTTCATTTATAAATTTATCGATTGTCCTTAAGAAGAATACGAAATTCAGGTAAATCGATATTTACGTTATTATTATTATTATTTATTCGTACGCAGAAAAAAAAGATTTCTTTGGATTTAATAGAATTTCTTTCGTTGAGACAAATTTGCCTTTTGGCAATAGAGCGAACAAACGAATGTCTCATTCAACAGGACAGGGTTGATTGGTTTTTCGAACGATAAATATCTTTACATTAAATGACATATCTCTTTTGTATTTTTATTCAAACATTACGATAGTTGTCTCAAGCGATAAATTATTTGAAAGAAGTATGCTATGTTAGGAAAATATTAAAGAATTCTAGTGTTAAGTCGACCTCTCGTCTGACGCGCAGGCACCGGCCGACGTGTGTCTCAAGTTGCACACGAACTCGACGAGACGCGCGCGATGGTACTCGAAATTGGGATACACGCCGCGCTCGGGACCGATACCCGTGAGACTGCACGACGTGTGTCCGACTGGCGGTTTCATCGGCAAATTGACCATCGTCGTCGCCAGGATGTATCCGATGTTGTATCACGAGAAAACCGCGTCCGGAGAGTCCGGTAAGGCGCGCAATTCTTGGCTTTCAACACGCCGACCGTCACGTGCGAGTTTGAGAATTTCTTATTGCATTAGTCAAAAGGAATGTTTTTCTATATCAATTGGCAAGTTGTACGATATTATCGCCTGGATGAGTTTCTGCGGTATCGGTCGAAAAGAAAAGTCGAAGACGATTCGGACCGGAAATTGTTGACACTTTTATGTTACACCGAGAATTTGGACCTGATGGACGTGCTCACACGTGGCGGTCAGCGTATTAATCGATATTCGCGTTTCAACGACGTAAAGTCCCGCGCTCATTTCATACCTCCTCCGGCAGTTGTCAGAAACGCCAAGGGCGAGGAGAAAGCGCAGATCGAGTACGAGCAGCGGTGTCGGCAGAAGGCGGAGGCGTTCTACGACAAAGCCGAGAAGGATTTCCAGGAGGAGGATCTCTCCTGCGAGACGGATCTGTTGACGGCCGGATCGGGCAAAGATCGCGAGAGCGATACGCAGGTATGATACGCGATTCGATCGATTGATAATATTGTCAGACACTAATAAGATATTGTCGCTGGATATGTCGCTTAATTGTCACAAAGAAAGAATCATCAATAGGCCTTTAAGAGCCGGAGCACGGCTCTTTTGTACTGCTATTAAATATTCATTAATATTAATCTTCACCGAAAACTCGATTATTCCGCAAGAATTGCGGACATACGTTTCCTTACGAGTCTTAATATTATTTACTGTTAAATACGTTTCTCTCCGTTCTTCCCGTGGGGGAAGGGGGGGGATTTCTTAAACGTTTTTCACCGCCGTCACGAACAGGAATTCGCCGGCAAGAAACAACAGGACGAGCTGCTGCGGGCGCTGCGCGTGAAGAAGGAGCGCTACAAGCAAGAGCTGCAGTCGAAGCTGCGGGAAAGCCTGCCGGCGCCGCGGCAGGTCTCGTCGTTGCTCAAGGTTCGCGTGTGCGACGGGAACGCGAACGCCATCCTCTCCGTCTGGTCGCCCGGCGAAGAGGTCATCGACGCCCTCAAGGAAGGCGCGTGCGTCTCTCTGCGCAACGTCGTCGCCGCTGGGAAAAGGTACCGTTCTCGCGAGAGGGTCAATTAGGACGGTCCCCCGCGTGCGCAATGCTCCGCATGACGGATTTCACGGGAGCGAAGTGTAACGCAATGTCCGTTCGTTCAACAACAGGGGATGCGAGCTGCAACTCACCGCGCGTCGCTGCGCGCTCTTCGATCCCGGCACGATGCGCGACCCGTCCTACCCGGCCCGGGTGTGCGCTTCGTTTCACGAGGTGGGCAATCCCGAGTTCTCGCCGCCTTACGGGGAATTCGACACGGTCGGTCTCGTCTGCGCCGTCGGTACCGCTCCTTACGTAAGTGTGTCACCGAGTATACTTCCGAGTTTCCTTCTCTTAACGTGTTGACTGCCACGCTGATATTGGGAAACCTCACGAAGCTGTTTTAAAATCGGCTTGTCACTTTACCATGCTGATTCGTTAGATTTCATTAAGCGAAGCTTATAGAAAGGAATCTGTGCGAATTAACTCGTAGTTGGTGTACGGAGCAGAAAACTCACGTACCGGCTAAGAAATCACTCGCGTCTCGCTGTCGATGTGCCCGGTAAAGGCAATAATAAGAGCTGTCACAGGACGACTGCGAATGATTAGTGGCGAAGCATTAATTTAGTAATCCGATTCTTTACATTGTTATATTATATCAATATTTATTGTATATATTATTCATAATTATCATCCTGCAGCGACGTCGGCTATGAAAATCGGTCGGTGTGATCGGATATGAAAATTCCTCATTTCTTTTTCAAATGACTCGTGCGTTAATTTCGTGCTTGCAAAATTGTCGATGCGCTCGATATGTACATAACAACCCAAAGACGCATCTCCGTAGGGTATGAAGGACTTCGAAGTCGTGCACTTGGCATACCCGAAGGCCGACTCGAGCCGCTCCTCCTTGTACCTCTCGATCCTGTTTTGGCAAGGGATCGCCAGTTACGGATACGCGGATATCCTCACCGTCGGCTGCATCGTAGCGTGCAATAATCTAGAGTGGCGTAGGGTGACCTCGTGGAACGTTCCGGCGGTATATTGCACCGACAAGAGCACCTTCACACGCAATCCACGGCGGAATCATCTGTACGAGTCCTTCGAGACTCTGCGTAGCTCGATCGCGGTACGCTGTGTGTCTTCTTTTTCTTTCGATTCTCCCCTCTCCCGTCTCCTCCCGCAATTATTTCTTCTCGTCGTCGTTCTCGCGACTGTTCCGCGTTAAATTGCTCCTCTTTCAAGGATCCGATCGCGTACGCCGAAGGATGCACCGCTGAGCTCAACGTGGAATTGCAGAGGAAGCCGGTGGCCACGAGAACGCCGACGCGCTGCGCGCTGGACAAAAATACCCCGATTAAAATATACAATTCCGCCCCGGGCGCCAAGAAAAGACCGGTCGAGCACACGCCGCCGCTGTCGGCGCCGAGGTCGACCGCCAACAACAGTTGGAATCTCACCACAAATATTCCCTTGATACAGAAGCGACTGGACAAGCTCCAATACTACGGCGAGCCGCCCGAATTATCTCCGATCGTCATACGGTCCTCCAAGAGGGTCTCCTTGGATTTCCAATCGCCCGTTCGCGTCTCAGACGCGAGCCCGACGACGGACGTGTCGAACGTCAGCAAGTCGTCCAGCAGTTTGTGTCTCTCGCTGGAGAAGCGGTGACATAATCGTTCGTTCGCTCGCTCGTCCATTGCAGTTCTCATCGCTTGTACCTTAAGAATGTAAATTTGTCGATAACCGCTTAAATCTCGTTGATAATAAACTATTTTTTTTTTTACTCATTCGTCTCCTGGATTTCTCTCTCTCCGAGATCTACGAGGCCAAAAATCCCGACGTCAGCGAAATCTATTTATTTAGAAATAAATTAACGTAAAACATATTTAGGAGAAAAGAAAGATACTTCGTTTCGCTACGGAAAAGTGAAATTCGCGACTTCGTTGAGAGAATGCCTATTGACAATAAATTATATTTTTTTTTTCAATTCAACTTTTGCGCTTTCCGTTCCTTCCAGAATTTTTCTCCCTTTCCTCGCCGGATTCACGAATTCATAGTCCCGACGTTAATCACTCGTCTACTTACTCAGAAACGAATTAACGTAAAACGTACCGAAAAAAAGAGAGATTTACTTGGTTTCGCTACGGACAAAAGTTAAATACCCCGTGACTTCATTTCGCCCGTTACCGTGTAATATTCTTGGAGGAGGAAGATATATGGCGATGTTTCCGAGCGACAATTTGTGGTCGCTCTCGTGAGATATCCATCCGGGAAACGCCGCACGTTAATCCCCAGTTGTACGCGGGTCATTATCCTGTCGGCGACGGGTCATTTCGACCATTCCTACAGTTTCCTAAATCTAACTACGTAATAGGACAACGGAGTCAGCCGTGCGAGTCGCGCGGGGAAGATTTCCGCGGCGCGGAAAAGCGCGGTGGATTGAGGAATACCGTACTTCTACCTCCGTGGTATTCAAACTCCGCTTACAGCCGTGTATATATTTTGCATGATTATTGTAATTAATGCAGATATTAAAATTCATTTCGTCGAAGAATACACGGTAAGAAGTAAGAACGCGTATAAAGAACACGAAAGTTCAAAAGCCGCTCGACAAAGTGTCCAAACGATTGAATGCTTCGACATCGACGTTTCCAGATATCATTTTTATTCCCGGTCCAATTTTCACGCTCGCTGTCAACGTGAAATTATTATTAAATAAGAAATCATAAAATAATTCTTTCGTAACGCGCGTGATTGCGATAGTTATAAGCATAGATCGGTATAATTGATTATTCTTATTTCATTTCTAGCTTGCCTTAACATTACTCCCCGTATGAAATCCAAATTTCAAGAAGAAACGTAAGAAACGAGATCGCAAAGCGTATCGAGAAATTCCGGAGATACGAAGTTTTTCCCTTCACCTCCGGTGCGCCGTTGTGCGCCATTTGCATTCGTTTTTCTCTCAACCGGCGTAATCCTCACTTTCCGGCGCGGACGAATCGCAATTTGGCGATTGGCGGGTGAAAAATCACGTCGGAAAAGCTCGACCGGGTCGCTCCGCGTCTTCCCGCTTCGAGCGTTATTTGACAGCCGCGGAGCGGCGGATCGCGCATGCGCACACGAACGCCGAGAAGGAGAAACTAGAAACGAACGGCGCGGCGCGCGGACTTTGGCGCTCAGTTTGACACGCACCGGCGTGCCGTGCGCTCCGCTTCGGAATTTCGTTCGTACGTCGCTCGTAAACGCACGACGAACGGCGACCTGAAGACAGTCGTGTTCGACAAAGAGAGAGAGAGAGAGAGCAAAAGAGAAAAAGAGAGAAAGAAGAGAATCAGGTGCTCGCTCAGAGGAAGAAGAAGAAGAATCGATCGTGTCGTGTTCTGTTTCTTCCCCTTTCCACGCGTGTACCGGCCGATGTCTCGCGACGCGATTTTACACTCGTAACGACGACATCGTTTCTTCTTCCCGTCCGGATTTCCCCTCTCTCTCACGTTCTCCGTAAGAGCGATTCGCACAGCTGTCTTCGCCCCCTCGTCCCAGTGCCACCCTCCCCCAGCCGTTCTTCTCTGTGTCACGGTCGTGTATGTTCCTGAGCGCCTGACGCGACGCGAGACGCGACGCGATGACGACCGAGAGCCCGAAGGTGGAGTTCGCCCTCGGCAGCGAGGTGTCACCCGGTCGCTTCTTCAAGAGCGCGTTCGCGCGCACCTTCACCAACGGCAACGGCGGCTGTCGCGACTGCAAGTCCTTGGATTACGAGCTGGTGCACGACGCCGCCGCCGCCGTCGCGGCCGCCAGCGAGGACCTCGGCAACAACAACGGGCGTTTCTTCTCGCTCGCCGCGGGCCTCGCCGACAAGCCGGCGAACGGCAGCGAACGGATCGCCTCTCGCCGAGATCCGAAGGAGGTGAACGCCTTTTCTATTGTTCTGCAGTGTTTTCTTTCCCGCCGTTCTCGCGTAATGTCGCGCTAACGGTAACCGCGCGCGCGCGAAACATCGTCCGCTGGACGGGCAGAGGTAGAGAGAGAGAGAGAGAGAGAAGGACGTTGCGCTATATTTTGCTAAATCCTAGCTATGCTAGAGATCCTGCCGGCACCGAGGGTTCCACTCGCGTGGAAGTAATCTCTCTCGGCTGAGGGAACGCGCACGGGGTGCACCAGATTCTCCGGATACCTCTCTCGGGGCACCCCTCTGGAGAAGTGAAGGAGATTCTCGCGATTTTGTTAACGATCGCACGCGGAGACGGTGAATTAATTGCCTAGTGAACACCAGCTAATAGTAACATGACATCAGTGTTATTGTTAATCGCTCAACAATGTGAACGCAATGTAATGCGCGCTTTACGTAACGGTTACATTGTTGAGTGGGAAATTGTAACGCTGATGTTGTGTTACTGGTAGCTGCCGGTGTTCACTGGGTGATCGCAAATGAGCGTCGATTTGTATGGATCAACCTTCGACGTCCTTTTACTATTAAAAATTGCTTTCTCACCGAGGTACATATCGGCACATCTTTGCCTTAATTTATTATCCTTCTCTTTCACACGCGGTATTGATATTTTGAGAAGTGAAATTTACTATGTTCCTTGGCAAAATGAGAAAAAAAAAACGGTGAAAAAAATGTGTGTTAACTTACCACAAGGTGAATATGTTAGAAAGTAAATATCACGTCGAAAATTAACACAAAATTAACATCCATAATATGTTAATCGACACTGAAATATAAAATGTGTTATTTTAACATACTCACAAATATTACTTTAACACTTACACATGTTGAATATCGACTCAACGCCAAATATATTGAGACAACATAAACGCAATATGTTAAATTGACACATGAGTATTCTACAAATTTAACACAAATACGAAATATTTTTTACTGCGTATATTTCACTGCCAATCTGATTAAAGACTAATCGGAGGGGAGGGGGATGAAGCGAGAGAGTTTAATTGCCTGGTTTCGAGCGCGAGGTCCTCTTGATTCTCAAAATCGCGTGTAATTCTGCAACTGGACGGCGAGATCCGCAGGTGGAAACCGCTGCGAACTATCGTTCCTATTTGCTCGGGCGAACGATCGAGTTGCGAAGTTGAGTAATCGCGGCGATCGAAACACGACGAATCGTGCGGAATCGTCGAAACGGCGATAATAGCGGTGCACTTGAACGTTCGCGCGCGTTCTCGTTTCTCGCGACTTAATTACGAAATTGGAAGCGAAGCGCGATGAAATCCTCGGAGCGTCGGCCCTCGCGGCCGGGATTTTGCAACGCGATTTAAATACAATAAACGGAGTTCGGCCGGATAACAGCCGCCATTGTGCCGGACCCGTTTAATGTCGAAAGCCCGCCCGCGCATGTTCTCACGTCTTGAGGGGGAGAGGAAAAATAAGGGGGATAATTCGCGGGTGCTCTTGTTCGAGATTGACGTGTTCTCGACGCGATGCACACAAATACACGCATACACACACACATATGCACACGTGCGCATACGTAGTCAAATAATTCGATACTTTCTATTCTTGACAGGCGGCGCAGTCGACTTCGGACGCGAATGAATTGGAGAAACTTCGAAAGGTGAGTTTATTTATGCCTCGCCGGCTATTATTGCATATTCATCCTCGATGCATCTTTCCGCCAAACGTTCCCGGCGCGCGGAAGGATGCACGCGCCGACGTGTTCGTTACTCTCGTTCGACGTGACGTCGCCGGTGTGCGACGTCGCGATTTATACCTCCGGTATTAAATGCGCCGATCTCACCCCCTGCAATCGGGCCTCTCGTCTCGGAGAGGGTCGCGTCAGTCTGTTTAGGAAATCGGCGATACCTCCGCGCCTGTATCTCCCCCACAGACGTTGAGGGTAAAATGTAAGGATTTAATTTGGCCGGGCCAATAAACCCAATTAGTAGTCGGAACGTTTAAATAAAAAAACACAAAATTACATCTAAATATAAAAATAACGTTAATACTAAGTAGTAAACAAATAAATAAATCAGATGAAAATAAATAAATATATAAATAAATGAAATAAAAGTGACGCAATAAATGAGAAAAAATAACGTTAATAGCGAGTAATATTTAAAGGAATAACGTTTACTTGAAAATCGAGATTATTCAAAATCCGGATGCTGGGCCGCGGGATCCGCTGGGAAGCAGCTGAAACCGAGGAACAATTCCGAAAGCGAGGGAGACCGAAAGAAAGAGAAAGAGAGAAAGGCTGCGAAATAATCGGGGACTACGAGATGCCGAACCGCTCTCGGAACAGTTCCGCCGCCCGATCTCGAGGATAGGGGCAGCGACCAGGTGTTCTCTCTGACTATGGCGTTTTACAGCTGGAAACGGCGAGGCTGAAGAATTCGTTCTCGCTCGCTCGCTCACTATTTACGCTGAAAGTAACAGAACATGTGGCTCACTTTTCCTTATTTTGTTGCTAACCGCCCACCATCTGCCGGAGGGGGGATAACTAATCGCTCGAAACCGCGGGAGATCGCGTTGGAATTCAGTAACGTATATTTTTCCCCCTTTTTCTCTCCGTTTTTTCGCCAATCATGCCTGTGTTTTCTGCATCGCTATCCGTGCGCGGATAATCGGGGCAACCCGATCTCGCTCAGAAATGTCGGAATAATCGTGACGACCTGTGCCGTGCCATCCGGCCGTCGTATATTCGCGCTGAGTGGGCCATCTATTCCGGGCCTACTGTGGACTCGAGGTGTCCACTGACTATCCAGCGTCACCCAACACTTTGGCCGATGTAACGTAAGCACCAATTATCGTACAAGTCGTCCGGTTAGCACAATGTCTCGGAAATTATATCAATGATGCTCGCGTTGATTTCAAGTCGTCTCACCGCACGGAGTTAAGAGAATGTTAAGGTAAAAACTATTGTATAATTTTGAAAGGAAAAACGTGTCGACATTTTGCCTCGGTTTGTCATCTTCCCGTTTCGTATTTGTTATTTGTATCTTCTCAACTGAAGTCCACTATCGAGGAAATTGTTATATATTCCTCGGCGAAATTTACCGCGTTCCTCGTAAAGATAAATTTTACCGACGGTTTATTTCTACTCTACTAAGAAAAATAATAGAATTGATAAGAAATTATGTTAGAAAAAAGTTCTGATATCGCCTGGTAGAAGTCTCATGCATTTTTTCCGAACGATTATTGGACAGTTTCTGTCTAGCAACTGAAGGGTAAAACTATTTGGGATCCCAATCAAGATGTAACGCTTTTCCTGCGCCAGAGTTACTACGCAAAATATACTTACAAACCTGCAATTACTTACAAAATATGTACGAAATCTGAACTCATTTATTGAACGAGAACAGAACGCGAAAAAGAACCCAAAAAAACCATCAAAAACTATTCAACCGATTAATAAGCAAGCCTGCTGCTCAGAAAATGAGCAGTTGTGCCTTAGAAAAATCCTTGAATAAAACTCTATCAAGTTCTCGTTCATTTCCCAAGCGATATCGTTACAACTAATGAGAATGCAATAATACTAAACAATAACCGGACGGTTGTCGAAGAAAACCGCATACATTTCTACCAGGGGGGTATCGGCATCCGCGGTCCCGCGACTTCCCCGGCGCAAAAATTCGCGAGTCGCCGTGAGCAAAGCGGAGTCGAGTTGCGTTCCTGAAATACCCGTAGGTGGTTTTCGTTCGCGTTCGCGCGTCGGGGCCGAGTGGCCGTAGCGGCCAGATCGAGTGTGTGGAGCGGAAGTCCGCTTCAGCCCCTCCCGTAATTATTATCAGTCGGAGGGACCGGGGGCCTTTGTGGGACCTATCCGAATGCACGCGCGTGTGTTCGTGCACACCGCGTCCGACCGACCGCCAGTGACCGGAGCGGGTTCGCGGCTGACGTCATCATCCTGTTTTTTTCGATCCCACACTGCGAAGAGAGCGGTGTACGTTATGCCGGTACGAGAGAAAATTATCATCCCCCTTCCCCGTCCCTTTCTCCCTCGCTTCTTCGCCGCAACGATTTATACTCGATTCGCGTGTGAAAAACGAAAAGGTTGCGTTAACAACCGATGCTGTCCGCGCGTCTTTCAACAAATTCCCCTTTGTTCGCGTCAGAACAATCGTTTTCTCGTGGCGCCTCGGACGCTCCGCCGCGGAATCGTTCGCCGTAGAATCCCATCTTCGACTTTGCCCGCCGTGTAATCTAGAAAGTACTCGGCGATTACAACGATAGTAATTCCGACTCTTTGAACGGCATTCGTTGTTAGATTCTGTATTTGAGGTCGTCTTAAGCTCATCTTCGGACACCGTTTCATTTACTACGGAGCGTTTAAAGATCAAACTCGGGTCGGACTTGAATATAAAAGCGAATTATGTATACCAGACTTTTCTCTCTCTCTCTATCTTTCTTTTCTTTCGAAGATTTTCTATCTCGAGCGAGATACTCAGATTCGAGATAAGAGCTCGGTGTGAACGGTTCGGTTGAATCACGATTACAAATATAATGTCACGTCTTATCATACGATTCAATGACAAAACTCAGCGCTAACTCGAAATTCCGATCCGAGTATCTCACGTGAGACAAGTTTCAAGCGACAATTATTAATGCAGACTTCGGGGACGGAATTCTGTTTCGAAGTGCAGTCGTGAATTGCACACCGAGAAAAAAGCGATTGGATCGACGTAATTGGCGGACACCATCGTTCAGAGAAATATCGTGTCCGCTGAACAAATCACGCTTTGACGCAAAGATACATTACGCTGATACAGTTGCGAGTGCACCGACCTATTTCATAATTCAGCGAATGCTTTCATAATGCATGGCCTTTAGGCACGTGATACATGCTCTCTTCTCATATTAGCATCTGAAAACAGCTTGAATTGTAATCATTAGAATTATTATTATAATTATTATTTTTCTGACGTTATTCTCTGTAAACCTAATGTTTCTCTTTATGTATGCCAAAGGGTACTTTGCCCCCATATAATGTCTCGCTGTAAATTGTCACAGCCCTTTATCTTCTGAAGTAAAAGAGACGTAGACCACAATATATATTAAATTAAATGACCTTAACTAAACTGTACCCACATTTTTTGTGTGCCAGCGTGTAGATTGTCCGCGAGGCGGACTTTCACACACGCAAGACACGGATGTATCTCGAAGAGAGCGAGATGCGGAGTGGATCCCGCAAAAATCGCGGCGGTTCACCGCGCTGAATTAAGATACCGGTTCGCTTTGTCGAATCCGGCGGCACGCCTTCGCTCGTTCGCATGCGAAACGGACGATTGAATTCCTACCCGGCGCGTCCCTGGTGGAAAAGTTTTATTACGGTAGGCGCGATTAAGCAGTCACTCACGTAAGAACGACACCATTATTCGCTCACCCTCGAGAAGTACGCGCGCGAAAGATACCTCATTGCCGGCAGCATTTGCACACCTGCGTAACGCATACATCACGCCGCGACACGCACCGTGATTCCCATTCCCCCCTCCCGGCCCGCCGGCCCCCGCCAACGGTTTCACACGTTTTACGAGTCGAGTCGGATAAGATACGATCGGCCGAGGAAGGTACTTCGCGAGGGCCGGAAGGGCCCTTCCCGTCGATTGCGAAATCGCGTCGCGCCGACCGGTTTGGATAACGCGAACGCAACCCTTTCGTCCGAGCGAGAACTTTCGCCTTCTCGCGTTACGTTTCTTCTCTCGGAAAAATCGCGCGCTCGGATGCGCCCGATGCATATAGAAGCCGCTCGTCCGTTGCCACTCGGCCGGGAAACCTCGGAAAACGCGCATTGTTTGCGCGGAAGAGGCGAGAATCCTCGCTCGGCGGGTCGTTTAGATCGATTAATTCCTTAACGAAATCCGTCTTCTTTATACGCGTTCTTGGATATACGAAGGCGATTTTCACAGAAGATCTCGGATGACGATTTCAAGTAGTTTCGAAGAATGTCCGATCCCTTCCCAGTTTCTCAGGGGGAGGGTCGAGTGCAAACGGGGAGAAGGAACGAGAGGGTAGTTAAAGGAGGGGTTGGTCGAGCGGCTGGCAAGGGATGCTAGATGCTCAAGAAGGGGCACAGAAGTGGCGGATCGTGAAAGACCCTCCTTTCAAAGGACGCCGGCGCTCCCGAGAACAAATGGCGCGACTTCTCGTCTCTCGCCGCGAAACCTACTCTTCAACACTGTTACTCGGGGCACGCGGTTAGTCGCTAATAATCAAAGACAGAGATCTCGCACACGCGTTCTCTCGCTTCGCCGACGACTTCCAGCCGGGCGACCGTTAACTTTCCCGCGACGCTCGCGATGCCTTTGATCAATCGTTTCCTTCTTCCTCGATAGCCGTCGCTACACGACGCTTCAGTTGCCGCGATTACAAAAGGGAACGTCTTTTTATAGTCGCCGTCACCCTTCCGCGTTAACGTCCGCGTTATGCCGTCCGCGTTCTGCAACGTTGTGTAATAATACATCGTTATTAACGCACGTGGCTTGTTTTTCCACTCTTTCCGTTTTACTTCTCGTCTTTCCCCGAGGATATTTAAACCGCTCCGCGCGCGCGATGAAAACCGTCGTCGAGCTAACATAATATATAAGGGGCTGACGTGCGAGGGCCGCGAGAACTGGG